GAATAAAGGAAGACATAAAGACGGTCAACGCATCCCCTGAGGATGCCCTGGACCGAGCCAAATGGGGAAGACAATGCCGAAAAGCGGACCCTGCGCCACAGCGGGAACAACGCTAGGAAGAAGATTACCTATTGGGTTTCACTCCCTCGTCGAAAAGGCCGCTCTCTTCCTTTTCTAAAGTTACATGCTAATTTCTCTGCATTCACTTTAAATCGAGGACAAAGTTTTTATTCAAAATAAGCGCACAATTACACACTGAGATGCACTTACATATGCATGCATGAAGCACAATGGGCACATTACCCTTCGGTATGTTAATAGACATGCGGATTGTGCCTTCAAAAATTAACAATCAAATGCAAATATCCTGAAAGACAAAGGATTGGATCCTAGGGGGGGAGTTATAAGGCGGCTCAGAAGCAGAGCTCAATGCCATTTCGAGAGGGAACTTGATGAGGTTGGACGCTCGACTCGTCGCTCTGCTGATCGCCCTTCAACCGCGAGACAACGCAGCCTGGCGAGCACAATTGCTGTGTCGACAGTTAGGCGACTTTGCGTCGGGAGAGTTCGTGGCGACATCTTCAGACGGGTTCCAGACATCGATATACCGTGAATCTCCTAGTAAGTGTCTATTTTCGCGTCGTTAAATTAGCGGGATTTTTTTGCGTCTCGGTTAGACGCGAGTGTCGTTCTTGTTTTAGCAGTTAACAAAATCCAAAACATCCTTGCGGCCGATAGCGTACTTTTGACTCAATAACACCGCTGCTGTTACTACACTCACATGGAGCAGAGAGGCTCTCCACAGCCCCACGCACACGGAGGCAAGAAGCCATCTTAAGAGACACCAGAGAACACACACGGGCGAGAAGCCATTCCTGTGCCCTGTGTGTGGGAAGACATTTGCACGGTCATCACATCTTCAGAGACACCAGAGAACACACACGGGCGAGAAGCCGTTCCTGTGCCCTGTGTGTGGGAAGACATTTGCACGGTCATCACATCTTCAGAGTCACCAGAGAACACACACGGGCGAGAAGCCGTTTCTGTGCTCTGTGTGTGGGAAGACATTTGCACACTCATCAACCAGGAACAGGCATCAGAAGGTCCACAATGATAGGAAACTGAAATCAAAAGCTGAAATTCAAGGTGCTGCAATGAGTCCTGAAGAAGTTTCCACCTTCGATCCCATGCAGTTGGATCCCGAGAGATGGCTGGATGTAATGGAGTGGCTCGAGAGTCAACCAGAGAGCTCGGGGTGACTGACAAAATATTATGTCATGTGGTTATACCTTTTAATCCGTATAGAGTACTTTTGTGTATAATTTTGACCATTTTTGTTTTACAGTTTTTGTGAGAGTTTAATGACGTGCCCAGTGGTGGTTTGTAATGTTATCGGATTACTTGCCGAAGTGGTGTGATGAGCACTGGTTGTGAGAGGGTTCATTGTAGTCGTTAAGTGTTCCTGTTGAGCTAAAGTTGGAATGCGTATGTAGGTACATCTTTACTCAACATTTAAAAGTTTTTTTTCAATATATAGCTTTTTTTGATTGGTATTAATCGACTTTAGATAGCCGATTTCAGGATGTACATTGATGACGCGTTCGTTGGATATATTTGGCCTTGACTTCAACATAGACGCACAGTGAACAAATGTGGTGGAATCATGGGAATTATACTTTAACCCTTTGGTATTCCTGGAACGGAAATGGTTTGCATTGTACTGGAAATGTGTGAACATAGGACATAATAAATATTCCCTTCGAGTTTTGACGTAAAAATGATTGCAGATGAATAAAAACGTATTTTTAACAAATGTTTGTCCGGTCTTTATTTTATAATGTTCCTAGCAAAAACATGTTAAGAGAATTTCAGGTGGAGGATCTCCGTCACACAAGTGTGCCCTTAACCGGCAGCATCTTAGCTGTCTACCCTATTAACACGTGTTCCTTGAGGGGAAAGGCCCCCGTAGTTAATCGTTCATCAACGTACCAGTCCCAAATCCCGAAGTATGTCGGGAATAAACTGTACTCTATAACATGTAAACTGTTATACTATACACGATAACACTAAACATTAAACAATTATAAACTAGTGTTTTAAATTATAACCATATAAACGTAGTTAAGGTATTATAATATCATCAGAAGCATTATAATCACAGTGTGGTTGTATAATAATCGCACTCTGCTCATGTAACACTCAAGTGACAGAACTCAACAAAAAAACGCCGCAATAAAAAGAACAACATCTATGGACAAATCCTAAAAACAGACAACACACGCACGTTAGTAGCTGTTAGCAGAAGACAACACCGAGCACCTTCAACTATACACATCATACAGCCAACTCGTAAATGGGGCGGTATATGACAGCCTTCGCTGCTGTCGACGGAGCCAAGCAGCGAATGTTTAACTCCATTGTTTCAGAATCCGTGTCATCACCCGGCCACAGCGCCTTAGCCAAACTACATCTCCACAACAAGGCAGCCTTCCCTATGCTGTGTATTTTAGCAGTATATTTACTAACGCACTTGAAGATAACAATTAGTCTAGAAATGGCAGCCGACTTGTTCTACCAACATGATTTCAATTTATATCCGAAAGAAGTATGAGTTCATTCATGAGTAGTATTCACTAAGCCCCGATAGCACTAACCTACACACAGTTATGATTAAACAAAGTAAAAATTAGTCGCTCATCCCAGCTCAGACATGATCATAGCAATTATTTCCAAATCCTTGTCGGGTCCCACGAGAACAGGGGGCCTCGCTCGCGTGGCGACAGCGATCGCCTCACTCCTCCGCCGCGTGCTGCTTTGTGGTGGCAGGTCCACCGCCCAGTAGGGGTGGTGGCGGTGGGCGTGCATCGGTGCCAACCGTGACCACTATCACCACACTAACCGCCCACCCCGTGATACTCGCTACACACACCACACGGTTCCCCAGAGAGACGGTGCCACTGGGACCACAGCTGGGGAATGAAGCTGAGCAGCAGATGCCAGGACTACAGCGGAGAATGACTGCTGCCGGCGCAGCCAATGACATCGCCTGTTGCAATCCTTGCTCTGTGTGCGCGCGAGTCAGTGGGGAGGGGGGTGTGGACGTCATCGCTCACCCCCCATGCACAAATCATTTTCTTTTTAACTCCTCTATACCCGGTCGATATCCATGTACCGGTATTAGTATTATTCCTACCAGCCCACCCCGCAGGGTCCTGTTTTCAAATACGTATTTAAAAATATGTTTTCAATTTTTTAAAAATTTAGAATGTCGTTGTCCATGTGGGGAGCGCAGTGGATCGTTTCGTCTAAGTTGCTTTTCGGAATCCGCGTGATAACCCAGTCACATCGCCTAACTCCAGTGACAGCACCTTACCCAAGCTACATCTCCCCAACAAGGCAGCCTTACCGCTGCTGTGTATTGTGTTTATGGGATAACAGGGGTGTGTATTATCCCATACGCCTTGACCAAAACGACTGATTATCCGCTTAACACCATAGCCCGTAAAACACTATTGGAGACAGTGTTGTTTGAGAGCAGCTTTTAAAGTCGAGTGTGGTCACTACGCGTCTGTACGTGCTCCCTCCCGAAGCTTGGCGGTTTTTGGCAACGCCACGGGGTTGCATTCACTTTAAATTGAGGACAACGGAGGGCATGGCGAACGTGTTTATCCATTTATTCAAAATTTGTTGTTGATAATAATTCGTCTGGACATGGCACGTGCCTTATTCTACTTGATTAACAAAAATTAGTACAATGCCATACAGTAGTGTGATTTCATTCATGAGTAGTATTCATAGAGCCCCAATGACACTAACCTACCTAAAGTTATGGTTAAAAAAGTAATCTTGAGTGACTTAATTCTCAGCTCAGACATGATCATCGCAATCATTTCCAAAGACGTGTGGGGTCCTGCGAGAGCAGGTCCCGACTACAAACAGCTGGGCAGCAGAATCGGAAGTAGCTGCGTCGCCCTCGAAATGTGATGTTGCTGATGTTGTTGTCGCTGCTGTTGTTGCTGCTGTAGTTACTTCTGTTGCTGTGATAAACGCAGGGAGGTGGTGTTCCGTGATGGGATGACGCCTTTGATTAAAGCCTCTGTTCTGATCGTCGCATTTGATCAACTCTGATATTGTAGACTCTCACATGTTAAGCTCTATCATAGTGAAACATAATATTATAACCTATGAACTACAACCTATCCATTGTAACGCTGTAAAAGAATATTACCTATTGGGTTTCACTCCCTCGTCGAGAAGGCCGCTCTCTTCCTTTTCTAAAGTTACATGCTAATTTCTCTGCATTCACTTTAAATCGAGGACAAAGTTTTTCCATTTATTCAAAATAAGCGCACAATTACACACTGAGATGCACTTACATATTCATGTATGTTAATCTACATGCGGATTGTACCTTCCAAAATTAACAATCGAATGCAAATATCCTGAAAGACAAAGGTTTTGATCCTAGGCGAGAGTTATAAGGCGGCTCAGAAGCAGAGCTCAATGCCATTTCGAGCGGGAACTTGATGAGGTTGGACGCTCGACTCGTCGCTCTGCTGATCGCCCTTCAACCGCGAGACAACGCAGCCTGGCGAGCACAATTGCTGTGTCGACAGTTAGGCGACTTTGCGTCGGGAGAGTTCGTGGCGACATCTTCAGACGGGTTCTAGACATCGATATACCGTGAATCTCCAAGTAGGTGTCTATTTTCGCGGATAAACTCTTAAACGTGTTCGTCGTCAAATTAGCGGGATTTTTTTGCGTCTCGGTTAGACGCGAGTGTCGTTCTTGTTTTAGCTGTTAACAAAATCCAAAACTCAACGCTAAACATCCTTGCGGCCGATAGCGTACTTTTGACTCGATAACACCGCTGCTGTTACTTCGCTCACATGGAGCAGAGACGCTCTCCACAGCCCCACGTACACGGAGGCAAGAAGCCATGCAATTGCTCTGTGTGTGGGAAGACATTTTCATGGCCATCACATCTTCAGAGACACCAGAGAACACACACGGGCGAGAAGCCGTTCATGTGCCCTGTGTGTGGGAAGACATTTGCACATTCATCACATCTTCAGAGTCACCAGAGAACACACACGGGCGAGAAGCCTTTCCTGTGCCCTGTGTGTGGGAAGACATTTGCACAGTCATCACATCTTCAGAGTCACCAGAGAACACACACTGGCGAGAAGCCGTTTCTGTGCTCTGTGTGTGGGAAGACATTTGCACACTCATCACATCTTCAGAGTCACCAGAGAACACACACCGGCGAGAAGCCATTCCTGTGCCCTGTGTGTGGAAAGGCATTTGCACACTCGTCAACTTGTCAAGACCATCAGAGAACACATACGGGCAAGAAGCCATTCCTGTGCTCTGTGTGTAGGAAGACATTTGCAAAGTCATCACATCTTCAAAGTCACCAGAGAACACACACGGGTGAGAAGCCATTCTTGTGCTCTGTGTGTGGGAAGGCATTTGCACGGTCATCAACCATGAACATGCATCAGAAGGTCCACAATGATAGGAAACTGAAATCAAAAGCTGAAATTCAAGGTGCTGCAATTGGTCCTGAAGAAGTTTCCACATTCGATCCCATGCAGTTGGATCCCGAGAGGTGGCTGGATGTAATGGAGTGGCTCGGGGATCAAACAGAGAGCTCGGAGTGACTGAAAAAATATTACGTCATGTGGTTATACCTATTAAGCCGTTTCGAGTACTTTTGTGTGTAATTTTGACCATTTTAGTTTTACAGTTTTTTTGAGAGTTTAATTACGTGCACAGTGGTGGTTTCTAATGTTATCGGATTACTTGTCGAAGTGGTGTGATGAGCACTGGCTGTGAGAGGGTTGAATTGTAGTCGTTTGGTGTTCCTGTTGAGCTAAAGTTGGAATGTGTCTGTAGGTACATCTTTACTCAACATTTTAAACGGGTTTTTTTCAAGTATATAGCTTTTTTTGTTGGTATTAATCGACTTTAGATAACCGATTTCATGCACATTGATGACGCGTTCGTTGGATATATGGCCATGACTTCAACATAGACGCACAGTGAACAAATGTGGTGAAATCATGGAAATGATACTTTAACCCTTTGGTATTCATGGCACGGAAATGGTTTGCATTCTACTGGAAATGTGTGAACATAGGACATAATAAATATTCCCTTCGAGTTTTGACGTAAAAATGATTGCAGATGAATAAAAACGTATTTTAAACAAATGTTTGTCCGGTCTTTATTTTATAATGTTCCTAGCAAAAACATGTTAAGCGAGTTTCAGGTGGAGGATCTCCGTCATGCAAGTGTGCCCTTAACCGGCAGCATCTTGGCTGTCTACCCGATTAACACGTGTTCCTTGAGGGGAAAGGTCCCCGTAGTTAATCGTTCATCAACGTACCAGTCCCTAATTCCGAAGTATGTCGGGGATAAACTGTACTGTATAACATGTAAACCGTAATTCTATGAACTATAACACTAAACATTACACGATTATAAGCTAGTGTTTTAATTTATAACCATATAAACGGAGGTAAGGTATTATAAAATCATTAGAAGCATTAGAATAACAGCGTGGTCGTATAAGAATTGCTAATATGTTTGTATAGTGTACGTGCAATAATCGGATAAAAATTATTACAATTACAACATGGTCATATTACAATCACGATTTTCACTGCTAGATGTAATCGAATAACAAAAGACGGAATATATTTATATAAATACACGCACAAACCCATTATAAACGCATGCGATTATGAATCGTTACAATTTTATAACAATCACAAATTGTAACAAAGCGAAATTCCAACAAGCAAAACACCACGCTCACGTGACGAATTCTTAAACAAACTGCAACACTCAAGTGACAGAACTCAACAAAAAAACGCCGCAATAAAAAGAACTACAACAATGGACAAATCCTAAAAACAGACAACACACGCACGTTAGTAGCTGTTAGAAGAAGACAACACTTAACACCTTCAACTATACACATCGTACAGCCAACTCGTAAATGGGGCGGTATATGACAGCCGTCGCTGCTGTCGACGGTGCCAAGCAGGGAGTGTTTAACTCCAATGTTTCAGAATCCGTGTCATCACCCGGTCACAGCGCCTGAGCCAAACTACATCGTCCCAACAAGGCAGCATTCCCTATGCTGTGTATTTTAGCAATATATTTACGGACGCACTTGAAGATAACAATTCGTCTAGAAAAGACAGGCGACTTGTTCTACCAACACGATTTCAAATTTATATCCGAAAGAAGTATGAGTTCATTCATGAGTAGTATTCACTAAGCACCGATGACACTAACCTACACACAGCTATGATTAAACAAAGTAAACATTAGTCATCTCAGCTCAGACATGATCATAGCAATTATTTCCAAATCCGTGTCGGGTCCCACGAGAACAGGGCACGGCCACAAACTCTCAAATTGTAAACTCACATTGAATACTATAACATTATAAACTCTAACAATATAACCTTTAAACTATGAGCTATACATTGGAATGCTTTAAAATAACACTACAAACTAGTGTTATAGTAAACTATAATGTTGTGAACTCTAACAATATTAGCTATGAGCGATACATTATAACGCTATAAAATAACAATAAACTGGTGTTAAAGATTAGAACACCGTACATTGAAGTGTGATATTTGAATTCGAATTCTTAGCTTCACACCGTGGTCCTCTAGGAATCACAATTTGCTCGTCAGTATGTAACATGTCTGTATGTAATATGTATGCATGAGATATGTCTGTATGTAATATGTATGCATGTAACATGTATGTATGTAATATGGACGTGCGAACCAATGGTGGGATATGTGAAACATGAAGGTGCAGGATCAGGATGGGATTAAAATTATTTGAATAACACTTTGGTGGTATGCGCCGCAGCCTGGCTGCCCAGCAGATACCAAGGAGGAATTTTGGGAACAATTGATGGACACATGCAATCAAATAAATGGAGAAGAGCAGTTAGTAATTGGTGGAGACCTAAATGGACACGTTGGAAACGCCCGGGATGGATACCCTCGAAACCATGGTGGCCAAGGATATGGTACCCGGAACGATGAGGAAAACCGAGCCCTGGACTTTGCGGAAGCCCATGATCTTGTCCTCGCCAACACCTTCTTCAAGAAGAGACCGTCCCATCTCATTACGTACGCCAGTGGTGGGAGATCAACTCAAATTGATTTCTGGCTTGTCAAGCGGGATAAGCTGAAAACGGTTACAAACACTCAAGTCATACCATCGGACAACATCACCCCACAACATCGCATCCTGATCATGGACATGAAAATGGACATTGGCCAGCGACATCGCCCACCAACAACGGAACAGCAGCGAATTAAGTGGTGGCGGATGAAGGAATGCAAAGATCAGCTGAGAGTCGCCCTCAATCAGATTGACGTGAACACCAACCGACCAGCGAATGCGATTTGGGAAGATCTCGCCGGCCAACTGTGCACAGCAGCAACGGAAGCACTGGGGCTAACTAAGCCGGCAAAACACTTCATTGACAAGCAAATATGGTGGTGGAACGAAGAAGTTCAGCTAGCAGTGAAAGAGAAGAAGCTAGCTTTCAAGAAGTGGCGCAAAACGCTCGCAGATCTGGATTACCAATAATACAGAAACTGCAAATCGGCAGCGAAGAGAGTAGTAGCAGCGGTGAAATTAGCTCAATACGACCAACTGTATGTCGAACTGGACACCCCAGAAGGTGCCAATAAGATCTATCGACTGGCAGAGGCGCGCCATCGTTCGACTCAGCATATTGGTCAGGTCAAATGCATAAAGGATGAGAATCACAGCGCTCTCAGAGACCCGCCCGCCATTCTTCAACGCTGGAGCGACTACTTCTCTGGAATCTGCAACCAGCAATTTCCCCACCCACCTATTATTAGCGCTGAACACGTCCTCGATCCGGTTTCACCTATCACCATCACCGAAGTGGAACAAGCTATCAAGAGAATGAAGAATGGGAAAGCGACTGGCCCGGACGATATACCTGCTGAGGCCTGGAAGATCCTTGGCAGGCAGGGTGCTGCCCTCCTTACCCAACTCTTCAGCACCATCACGAGCACCGGTGAGGTCCCAGAAGCCTGGTCGACCAGCACGACGGATCCAATTTGGAAGGGTAAAGGTGCCGTGTCAGAATGCTCGAATTACAGGCCAATCCGGCTCCTGTGTCATGCGATGAAGATCTTTGAGCGAGTTTTGGACACGAGGATTAGAAACATCGTCACCCTATCACCCAACCAATGCGGCTTCGACAAAGGATGTGGCACTACGGACGCCATATTCTCGGCGAGGCTCCTGCTGGAGAGGCACAGAGAGAAGAACAAAGCTGTGCACGTGTCGTTCCTCGACCTTGAAAAGGCATTTGACAGGGTCCCCCACGACCTCATCTGGCACTCGCTTCGATCCCATGGAGTCCCTGAAACCTACGTGCATTGGGTACAAGAACGTCACCAGTGCAGTCAGGTGTGCAGTGGGCATATCACCGCCATTTCCCATCAGCGTTGGAGTGCACCAAGGATCGGCCCTGTCACCACTCCTGTTTATCCTGTGCATGGACACGATCACTGCCGACCTGCACACGCCCCTGCCATGGTCAATTCTCTACGCGGATGACGTCCTCCTCTCAGATGAAGAGAGAGGAGAAGTGGAAAGACAAACGCGCCTGTGGAAGGAACGTTTGGACGAAAACGGGATGAGGTTCAACATCAAAAAGACGGAGTATATGGAGTGTGGCCCCCAAACCGACGGCACCATCAGCATTGACGGAGAAGATCTGAAGAAAGTGACGGACTTCAAGTACCTGGGTTCCACCATCAGCTCAGATGGTAGCATCACGACTGATGTGAGGTCACGAGTCAATGCGGCATGGATGAAGTGGAGGCAAGTCACCGGAGTCCTCTGTGATAGGAAAATGCCGGATAGGCTGAAGGGAAAAATTTACAAGACCATCGTCCGACCGGTGGCACTCTATGGATCCGAGTGCTGGCCAGCCACAACTGTACACGAACAAGCTCTCCACACCATGGAGATGAGGATGCTCAGATGGAGCCTCGGACTCACTCGATGGGATCGTGTCATGAACGAAGACGTTCGGAATCGACTTGGTGTGGCCCCCATTGCGGACAAGATGCTTGAGGCAAGGCTTCGGTGGTACGGCCATGTGATGCGAAGTGAAGAGTCATCAGTGGCCAAGACTGCCGTGCGTATTGAGCCAGAGGGCCGCCGTCCACGCGGACGTCCAAAGAAGCGATGGATGGATCGAATAAAGGAAGACATAAAGACGGTCAACGCATCCCCTGAAGATGCCCTGGACCGAGCCAAATGGAGAAGACAATGCCGAAAAGCGGACCCTTTGCCACAGCGGGAACAACGCTAGGAAGAAGATTACCTATTGGGTTTCACTCCCTCGTCGAGAAGGCCGCTCTCTTCCTTGTCTAAAGTTACATGCTAATTTCTCTGCATTCACTTTAAATCGAGGACAAAGTTTTTCCATTTATTCAAAATAAGCGCACAATTACACACTGAAATGCACTTACATATTCATGCATGAAGCACAATGGGCACATTACCCTTTGGTATGTTAATAGACATGCGGATTGTGCCTTCCAAAATTAACAATCGAATGCAAATATCCTGAAAGACAAAGGATTGGATCCTAGGGGGGGAGTTATAAGGCGGCTCAGAAGCAGAGTTCAATGCCATTTCGAGAGGGAACTTGATGAGATTGGACGCTCGACTCGTCGCTCTGCTGATCGCCCTTCAACCGCGAGACAACGCAGCCTGGCGAGCACAATTGCTGTGTCGACAGTTAGGCGACTTTGCGTCGGCAAAGTTCGTGGCGACATCTTCAGACGGGTTACAGACATCGATCTACCGTGAATCTCCAAGTAAGTGTCTATTTTCGCGGATAAACTCTTAAACGTTTTCGTCGTTAAATTAGCGGGATTTGTTTTTCCTCTCGTTTAGACACGAGTGTCGTTCTTGTTTTAGCAGTTAACAAAATCCAAAACTCAACGTTAAACATCCTTGCGGCCGATAGCGTACTTTTGACTCAATAACACCGCTGCTGTTACTACGCTCACATGGAGCAGAGAGGCTCTCCACAGCCCCACGCACACGGAGACAAGAAGCCATTCAATTGCTCTGTGTGTGGGAAGTCATTTTCATGGCCATCAAGTCTTAAGAGACACCAGAGAACACACACGGGCGAGAAGCCATTCCTGTGCCCTGTGTGTGGGAAGGCATTTTCACAGTCATCACATCTTCAGATTCATCAGAGAACACACACGGGCGATAAGCCATTCCTGTGCCCTGTGTGTGGGAAGGCATTTTCACAGTCGTCAAATCTTAACACGCATCAAAAGGTCCACAATGATAGGAAACCGAAATCAAAAGCTGAAGTTCAAGGTGCTGCATTGAGTCCTAAAGAATTTTCCACCCTCGATCCCATGCAGTTGGATCCCGAGAGATGGCTGGATGTAATGGAGTGGCTCGACGATCAAACCGAGAGTCAGGGATGACTGAACAAATATTACGTCAGGTAATATTTGTTAGTTTTACAGTTTTTGTGAGAGTTTAATGACAGTGGTGGTTTGTTGCCGAAGTGGCGTGATGAGCAGTGGTTGTGATATGATTCAATTCCGGACAATATTGTAGTGGTTAAGTCTTCCTGTTGAGCTAAAGTTGGAATGCATCTTTAGTTAGATCTTTTCTCAACATTTTAAACGGGTTTTTTCAAGCATATAGCTTTTATTGGTTGGTATTAATCGACTTTAGATAACCGATTTAAGGATGTACATTGATGACGCATTCGTTGGATATATGGCCTTGACTTCAACATAGACGCACAGTGAACAAATGTGGTGAACTAATAAGGAAATAATGGGGAATGATACTTTAACGCGTTGGTATTCCTGGAACGGATATGGTTTACATTGTATTGTAACTGTTTGAACATAGGACATAATACATTCGGTTCGAGTTTTGACTTAAAAATGATTGCAGATGAATAAAAACGTATTTTTAACAAATGTTTGTCCGTTTATTTATTCATAGCAACAACGTGTTTTAAGCGAGTTTCAGGTGGAGGATCTTCGTCACACAAATCTGCCCTTAACCGGCAGCATCTTGGCTGTCTCCCCACTAACATGTGTTCCTGGAGGGGAAAGGTCCCCATTATTAATCGATTCACAACGTTACGGTCCCTAACCATCAAGTATACAGGGAATCCTGTACGCTAAGACACGTGAACTGTAACACTATAAACGATAACACGAAACATTAAAATACTATAAACTAGTTTCATCATTTATAATAGCAAAAACAGAGGTACGGTATCATAATCTCATTACAAGCAGTAGAATTTCAACGTGATCGTATTAAAATCACATTCTGCGCATATGTATGTATAGCGTACGTGCAAGCGAACTGTGCTCGTATGCATGTAATATGCATCTATGGCCTTTGGACATGCGAACCGGTGGTCAGATATGCGAATTGGGGTGTGCAGGATTATGATCGGATTGAAACGATTATAATAACACTTTGGTAGTATGCGAATAACACTGAGCTAGAATGTATGCTGGTAGAATGTTACATCGCAATGGCACCGAATAGCAATATACAGCATTGATATTGGTAATGGAGCCTACAAGCGCAACCTTGCGCATTTTGACCTGGTTCTCGACGCCCGTCCCGCGCCCATGGTAGAATCTTGTGCATGTCGGGGCGTCAAGGGCTCGCACCACAGCCTTGAAGGATTAGGCAGGTCCCGGGCTTCTTTTGAAGAATTTGACCAGGCTCCAGGCACCGGTTCCTCGCACGTGGCGGATCCCTGAGGGACCCCGGGCCTCAGGGGCTCGGAAACTGTGGGCGGCACAACACATTCCCTTTGGAGTACGGTTTCCGTTGCCGAGAGCCCCACCACGTTGGACACACCAGACTTGGGCTGTACAGGACATGGGGATGAGCCGTCTGGGTGGGGACGGATATAACTGCATGCGTACACACTGCAGTGTGTACGCATGTAGTTATATCCGTCCCATTGTTACTTAATAAAATTATGGCAACAAAGTGACACGTAATATAATTGAGTAGATTTTAAGCACTACAACTTTGAATATAAAGTGTTGAATAAATTAACTAAAAAATAATAATAATAAATAAGTACATGGTAATAAAAGCAACAGTTAAAATGTGTTGGATTTAGTAATATGATTCCAAATGATGAGTTATATAGCCTAAAAAAATTGTGTAAATCCAAATAGATTTTACAAGGAAAAGTGATTTATATTTACTTAATATCTGAGCAATGGTAATTTAGATTTACTAAATATCTGGTAGAATCTGATTAATATTTATTAATGATCTGGGTGAAATTGATATAAGCTTACTAAATATCTGGATCAAAATGATTTGGATTTACTAAATAAAATACTTATATTGAATGTCTGTTGCCATAACTTTTCTATTTCTAATCCACCCAATATCATGCCTTCGTGGTGCCACAATTCACTTACGTTAAGTCAACCGATCACCATGAAAAAGATAAGAACCATGAAAAGGAACAGCAGGTTAACATTTATTCGTGCAATTTTGTCTCAACATGTTTATCCAACATATTACAAGTACAAAACAAAGACAGAAATCATGTATGTGTACAATAGGGATACAATACTGGAGGTATTTATAATTTGTGGGCATTACAGGCACAGATTACTTTTTTGGATGTGAATCAAGGTTTAGTCTTTTTAGGGCATTTAAATTACGACAATGTTTTTAAAAAAATCTGTAAAAAAACTTTCATATTATTTCTTTTTTATATGCGCAAATTGAAATCCTAAGGGCCAATATGTTTTTTAAAACAGCTAAAAGAGATTAAAACATCACGTGAATTGACTTGCATTCCCTGTACTTATACTAGTAGCCATAATCCACAATCCGGGTGGACCTATATTTTTTAACATGCATAATTACAGTACAAGCATGGCTTTCTAACAAGTAAACTAGCACAGCCTACAGATGGTCTATGCATCTTACATCTATTCCTTTAGAACAAACACTTGCAATGGCCTAGGTCAGCGTCACATCAGAAGAAAGCACAATGTTAGAACACCCAAGAAACATTAAACAAAAATAAAGATAGCTTTCAATAACAAATCAGTGCATTCTCTGATAGCCTATCAGATGTATAGGCCTATAACGCAGAACTTTGACAGTCAGACTCAGTTATTAACTCGTTAAGCTCAGTCAAACTGAAGTACTTCTTCTTGGTGACAATCTGAAAACACAATGCTAGTTCCCTTGGGACTATGCCTTCCAAAAGGTCATGTAGTACATCTGGTGGGTACCCAGACTCAAAATGAAAGTGATTTAATTTATCAGTCAATGGACACGACCGCTTTACGCCAAAGCAATGAGTAACATTTGGATTTTCTCTCAGTTTGCACATGCAAACTATGTTCCTTCTTTGTCCGAGGTGGAAACACTCCGGTCCGCACTTCGTGTGTCTGGTACTCTGAAGAATGTCCAAGACAAAATCTACAGATGTACGGCCCCGTGAAACATTCAACTAGTCCACTGATAGAATGTGCATCGAGATTGTCAGCTACAACACAATGTACTGTCCCTTTAATGTTTTTTCCAACACTGGAAATGAAAATCCCTTCCTGTTCTAGAATGACAAGATCCTTCAAGAGTGGTTCCAAAACTGTTCTGTATTCAAACTGTTTGACATCAACAGCTTTCCAAAGTAAAGCTAGGCGTATTGACGTTAATGCAGATTGCAACTTTGTTGGAACATTTGCCAAAACCCAATAAACAGCTGTTATTTTTTTTTTCTCGAAGTTCCTAGTGGGTTACACACTTCGAAGTCGTCAACGTAAAGGATTATAGACAGTCTTGTTTCTTCCCCAGCATAAAATACGTTTTGCTTGAAGGATTTTCCATCAAAAATTGACTTAATATATCCAGTACTATTTGATTTTCTGGATACAATTATTTCTGCAATGTCTTCATTCTTCAAGACTTCCTGCAAAGTCTGGAGAATAGGCAAATATTGAAAGGTCTTGTTCTTTTCAGTATCAATAATATATTCAATGCTATCAACACACTGGAAATGCACCTTAAAATACTTTCTTCTCTTAAAAGCCGAACCAAGTGGACCACCTGCTCCAAGTGCTGTACTAATGGGATGGAAGTTGCACAACTGCTCTGACAATTCAGTTACGATGGCCTGGTCAATAATGCATTTATTCACCTTCAATGTTGAATCTAGTATGTTTCTAACAACTGCAACTGATACTGAAGATGAAATGAACTGAAGGTCTTCAACCAAGGCATCAATGTACTTCACTGAGGCATTATATATTGTTTCTAGCTTCAGCAGAAGTAAGCCAATTCTTTGAAGAACTAAGTATGATGCACTTTCCTGATCACAATCTAAACTAGTGCCCTCACCATCACTGGCCTCTGGTAAATCAGAATGGTCAACAGTATGATTATGGCGACTCTCATACACGTCTTTCTTAAAATCACTCAAAGAATAGGATTTGTGTCTTCTGCTTTTGTGTTTTAGAAATGTATTGTATATATTTGTCTGAAAGTTGCATCCTTCAAATACACAAAAGACAGTTTCGTTGCTCTTCAGATGAATTCCAATATGCTGAAAGTAGTCCTTCTCTATAGAACAACAAGCATTGCAAACTAAACACTTAAAAGCAGAGATGTTTCCTGACCGTAGACTTTCTTCATCTGAATGGTATCTGGACAAATGTGTGCGAAGGGCACTCTGTGTTTTAAATGTGCAAGGGCAACTGTCATATAGGCATGGCTGAGATTGCCCACGACCAAATGTTGCGTGTTGTAGTCTGTAATGCTTTTGTAGATTTCCCTTTGTGGCAGACAAAGACTTGCAGATCTTACACTTCCATTCCATAAGCAAAAACCTGAGGCAGAAAAAGGTCCATGTATCAGATGCAAGGCCACCAGGTATCTAATCACATGAAGACAATAGGAGCACATTTACAACATAATTCCTTATTATTTTTAATATTCAAATTTTCATGCTCACATTTAGCACATCAACTTCTTGTCACTCACATCATCTAGCTAGCAACTACACAACAAGCTCGCCACAACGTAAGGGTGACGCTAACTGACTGGTGGCAAGCTAGCTAACGTTAGCATACTGTACGTACATAAACACGCTGTGATCCGAATGAATATAGTCTAGTTTTAATCACGCACGTTACTTTTTCGTGTGCGGAACAAAAATTATAGTCTCGTGCTTTTAGTCGAATCAGACTGACTTCCAAAGGACTAACGTTGTGCTAGTTAATTCTGATATACGTTACAGCCAGTTAAA